GTAATGCCTGAAATGTTTCCACCAAAACGAGTGCGTTAAGTTTTAGTACTTACATAACATCATGTAGGAAATTGACTCATAATTCCCTAGATAATTAGATGTTGCTATATGTACACAATTTTTTTAAGTGTTGCCAGGTTAAGGACATCCTTGGTCAGCTTATAGTAAGCAGCTATTATAACTACTTTTATGCAAATCATTTTAAAGTGTTTACTCATAGGGTAAACATCCAAAACTTCTGTGGTCTTTGTAATTTAACAAATTCATAGTTGGCAGGTTTATGCAACTCATGTCAGAATGTGAACACATTCTAAATTGCTAGGACTTATGGAGTTGTAGGTTTCATTAAGAAATAAAGATGGAGGTTAGATTTAGAACAGGAATGATTCTTGAAAGCTGAATAACTAATGAAGTCTGAGGTTTTCTACCTTTTCCTTATCTTCCCCATCTCAGTAAAGAGCATGAGCATCTTCCCCGTTAAGTTAAAAACCTAGGGAGTCATCCCTGATTCCTCTTTTTGAATGGGTTTGAAAAAATACTATTACTTCATCTAAGGCTCTGTGTATGTCATATATGGAATACATATCTATGGGTATGGAATGAACATACACAGTTATATACACATAGAATAAGAAATTGCCACCGAATAGTATGGTATGCCACTGGGAAGCAGTATGCAATTTCCTTTTCAAATACACACACATACTCCTGTTCCCCTTCATCCTCCCCTGGCCCTGTGGTCATTCATTTATTTGCTCCATTCCATCTCCCCCTAGCGTGGCTCGGGGTTGCTGCATCATGGGACGGGAATCCTAACTGGGGGCAGTAGGGGTGGGCAGGCAGTGTAACTACAGAAAAAGATACAACTTAGGGAGACGGCAGGCCAGAAATCAGGCAGAGGGAGTGCCTAGAACAGCCTGAAATCACAGGGTTCCTGCAGAGAGGCCCTGGGATGTGGAAGAGGCCACACAAAGCAAAGTAGGAGAAGCCAAGTTCAACTTTTTTTTCCTTTGAGAGAGAAAGAGTGTTTGCAAGCGGAGAGCAGGGAAGAAAGGCAGGGTGGGGGGGAGATGGGAGAGAGAATCCTAAGCAGCCTCCACACAGCACAGAGCCCAACGTGGGGCTCAATCTCACAACCCTGGGATCATGACCTGAGCCGAAATCAAGAGTTGGATGCTTAATCGACTGAGCTAACCAGGTGCCCCTTGCCCATCCACTTCTAAATTTTTACTTAGGACAGGTCCCAGATCCAAGAAAAGAGAAAACATTTTTTGCTGAGGAAAAAAATCAGTCAGGAATAAAGCCACCATTTATCCATTGCCTGGCACAGAGCAGACACTCACTGTTTACTGGATGAATAACATTCCTGAAAATTCCAGGCTGTCCAGCCTCACTTCCCCCGTTGTCCTCCACATCACATCCATACACTCACTGTTCCCCTCACTTGCTGCCTCTAAGTCTATGCTCTGCCCCTTAGTCCTCCTGAAATGCCTTCTCACAGCCACATTCAGATGTCACCTCTCCCATAAAGCCCTCCCTGACCCCTCCAAATCAAACATGTGACTCTTGAGAGCACTTTATTTCACCACGAAGCAGTCAGTCCTTTCAACACATTTTAGAGTTATGTACACAGCTTACATCTTCTGCTGTAACAAAAGCCCCCTTGAGAGGGAAGACATGGTTCATTTTTCTGTTTTCCAAGATTATACCTGTTTTAGTTATATAAACCCATGCTTCCAAAAGAACAGCGTGTAATGAGGTTTTTTTTTTTTTTCACTGTATATAAATACGGTTTTACTAATGTGGTTTACTCCCTTAATTCATTTGAGGACTGTGCAGGTTCTCATTCTTGTCTGATCTCTGAACACACTGCAAGGTGTGCTGATCCCAGGATCCTCTCAGGTCAAACACATAACGAAAGTTACTTTTATCACAAACTCACCTCATTTGCTAAGGCAAAAGTTCCCCAGTGAATTGCCACAGATTTCTTTGTCTGAACATCGATGTGAATCCTTACAGCTTCTTCTGGGTCTATATGCTGGTATTTCATAAACCACCTGATAAAACAGCAATTTATTAATTCTGGCCTTTGAAATGTGCACTAAGTTATAATTACTGCTTCATCTAATCAACCTTTAAGGTTATGCACAGGAGTAAGACATTAGGCAAAAACATCTGTTTTGAGCCCACTTTCCTGCTGGAAAAAAAGCAAAAATCTTACTTGCACAAACCTAGTGACGCCACAGCTAAGTCTCAAGCAAAACTCCCCTTTGAAACGTAAGATGTTGTTTCATGTGTATTTGATTTTACTGATGATTTATTCTAAAGGTAGGTCTTAATCATTAAAAAGGTATTTTGCAATCTTGATATGAATCAAAGAAACTGGATAATGGATAAATGACTAGAAACCAAAAGTGCAATTCAAAAGAACCTAAATTGCTGAAACCGTTTTTAATACATGAAGCAAAAAGCAAAAATTAGGGCATAAAATTGAAAAACTGGGAGCAAAAAAAAACCCAATTACCATTCAAGGATTTTATTTGAGCATCCTACAGCTGAACAGTGAGGCGTAGGATTGAGCAAGCACAGGGTACACGCTGGGGACTGAACAAAGAGAGTGTGGAAACAGTGTAAGGCTGCCGAATGCCTGTGAAAGAGTGGGGCTCAGGAGGCAGTGGCCTGCACGGTGACCCCTCCCAGCTCGACCAGCTGCTGGGAATGTGGATCTCAGCTCTGCTACTGCCAGCTCTGCTGCAGTTAAGACTCATGGACATGGATTTGACACAGGTGCTTCTGGATTTTAGACAACACAGCATGGAAAAGCTATCCATCTCCAACAGCTAAAGGGCTGTTATTTACTGTTAGGAGCTGCTGGGCCTCCTGGGAGCCTAGGAACAAAGCCACTGTGTTCTCCTCAACAGCAGACTAGAGAAGTACTATTCTGCCCTATTTCCTGACACTTGGAATTCGGGGCAGGATCAAAACAGTTTTTGGTGTTTCTGTTGGATTTTTTTTTTTTTTTTTAATTCCTACAACAAATCAAAGGGATTTGCTTTCCACCTTCATGTCTACCTGAAATAAATGTAAAGTTTTTATTTTGGTGTAAAAGTTACAATAAAAACATCCTGGGCACCTGGCTGGCTCAGCATGCAATTCTTCACATCAGGGTCATGAGTTCAAGCCCCACATTGGGTGTAGAGCTTACATTAAAAAAATAAAAAAAAAACGGGGTGGTGGTGTGCCTGGCTGGCTTAGTGAGTTAGGCATCTGACTCTTGAATCAGCTCAGGTCGTGATCTCAGAGTCGTGAATTCAAGCCCTGCATTGGACTCTCCGCTGGGTGTGAAGCCTACTTGAAAGCAAAACGAAACAAAACACACAAAACTTCCTAACCGACCTGGATGGAATACGTAGACCATACTATAATGTAAGTATGAACGTTACAGGTCTACTACTGAAAGCCATTTTGGTGTAATCATTTCACATTTAGAGAGTACTCTGAAGTTGCTGGTAACCTTATTTCTAAACCTGTCAGTACTGACCAGAGCAATGGATTACACAGTAGAGGCTACCACACTTTAATTTTGTTAGAGCAAATTCTGCCCTCCTGGCTTTCACCCATCTTAAGACAGCTACAGTGCAGCAGGAAGAGGGAATTCTGTGAGTGAATTTGTGTAGTTAATCCGTACACCTTCTACCATCCCACATATATGATCTTTATATACTGTGACACAGGAAGAGTTTTCATAATTACAAATGGGATATTCTAATACAGTAGGAACATATACTGAGGAAAGATCAATACTATATGAAATTGGTTTGAAAACAGGATGTTTTGAGAGGTTTCATTAGAATTATAGTGGAAAAATGTAGTTCAAGCACTACTACAGATTCATAATATTTTAAAATAAGGTAAAAGTGTCCAGCCTCTTAAACTAGAAAAAAAGGGAGAAAGAAGCAAGCATTCATAAAGATAGTGAAGAAATGGTTTTTAGTGAATCTTAAAAGTTAAATACATGTAACAAAATCAGATGGAAACTAATCATCGGATTTGCTCAATTCATTTTTGAACTAGTGTTTTACTGCTTGTAGGATTGCTGAAATAAAATGCCATCATACATACAATTCTGTATCTGTGCATGTACTTTAGTGTTTAACTTGTTCCTGTCACCCAGTTAGCTGAAATCTAACTGAATTCTTTGAAGTCGCTTCTCTTTTCCTTAGACAAGATGAAACAGAACACAGGCAGGGCTGGGTCTCCTCGGTCTCCAGTGCAAGTGTGACCTTTAAACTGCTCTGACTGTGGGCGAGGGGCATGCCGTGGGGTCACTGCCACATTAACTTCAGTACAGACTGAAGTAACACCATTGCAAGGGACTGATTGCTAGCTTTCCTCACCTTTTCTCTGCCAAACACAGGAGGGCTACAGGCTGGGGACAGGTGCACACCAGATGTGAAGTGAAAGGTAGTTATGTAGCATGTCCTCCATGTGAAGAACGTGAGCTAGGTTTGATTACTGGCTGGTAGGTTCAACTTAAGTCAGAACTGAATGCCAACTTGTAGCTAGGTTATGGCAATTCTTTAAACCTTGGTCCATCTTTCTGGGTGATATAATTTCTGATTCTGAGTAATTACTTAATGGTATGCTTGAAACGCTTTCAAAAGAAATTTAATTGAATCTGACCCACCACCCCCCAATAACAGCCACCACCACCAAAAGTCCACCAGCAAAATCAGAAAGGAGATCACAAATGACCACAAACTCAACTACTTCATAGTTGAGGCCACTTATTACGTAGCAGGGCTGCCATCCTGGGAAGTGTACATACCTTGGTTCATACGCTCCGATGGGAATAGCTGCAAGGTCAAAAGGTCCAAACCTTTTTCCTATCTCTTCAAAGGCAGGGCAATAGCCAGTGTCTCCTGCAAAAAAAAATCGGCTCCAAGGCCCCAAGACAGACCAGCTGCCCCACAGAACCTTGTTGTCATCCACGAGAGTCCTTTTGCACCAGTGCTGGGAAGGCGTAAAGACAAAGGTGACCTTATCGTGTCCGGGGACACAATTCTCCTCCCACCAGTCCAGCTCGATCACGTTCTCACAGCCACACTTCTGCATCCAGTCGAGGAGACCCAAAGGCACAAACCATCGCAACTCCTGACCAAATCGTTCATTCAGAGCGATGACAGAATTATAGTCCAGGTGGTCATAGTGGTTGTGACTGATAAGCACAGCATCTATCGGGGGGAGTTCACCTATGGTGCACGGGGGACGACGGAACCGCTTCGGACCCATGTGCTGCGATGGTGATGCACGGGAGCTAAAGACGGGGTCTGTGAGAAATATGAGCTCGTCCATTTCCACCATGACTGTCGCATGTCCCAGCCATGTGACTCTGAGGCCAGCTTCCCGCACCCCAGCTTCTTCGGGGTCATTGATAAAATACGGCCTCAGCACTGGAAGCTCTTTATCAAGTTCCTATGCACAGAAAGAAAGGGAGAAGAGCAGCTGTTAGTGGGGGGGATAAAAGGTATCACAACATATTTGGACTCTGATTACAGAGAGAAAGGCTATTTGGGGAGAAATGACCTCATTCAATAAATTTGCTATTTTTGCCTTTTGCATGAAAATGCATACCTCTTTCCAAATCTGACTCAGTAATCATGACAGTATCAGGTCGTCTTAGTCCCAGATGCAGTACACAAAGGGAAAATTAAATGTGCAACTTCAAGCATTGCTGAATTTATTTAAAATTTTAGAAGCTCTCTTCTGTAAGTACTGGGAGCAAAACTGTAGCCTAGCTGCAGTCACTCTGCCCCTTTACTTGGCTGGTGCATTTGCTGCTAAAAATGGTGTCAGAAACAGGTGGGCGGGCTCCTGGACAGAGTAAAGAAAACTTACAGCCATTTATTGGTAGACCTTGTATCTCAGATATGAATCTGAGCACACAGAACTCGAAGCAGAGCACTGAGCAAACCCCAGTCACGGACAGCTCTCCTCATTCCTCACCCGTAAGGTTTTCTCCTTCGGATCAAACCAAAGCAGAACATGGTCCCTGCCTATGAGAAGGTGACTGCTTTTGGGGGAAAATAGATGTAAAACAGTAACCAGAACAAAACAGAAGCATTACTTCTTTGGTTATTCTCCATTTTATCCTTACAGAAGCTCTGTTGTAGGGTCACAGTCCTGGCTTTTATACAACTGTTTTCTAAGTTGTGCTTTAGTATTATGCTATACTGCTGTATCAAGGTCATTTACAGGAAGACGCCTCATGAACCTGGCCGTGTATGTACTGGAGAGAGGTCTAAATTTAAGACTCAGTAGATCTCCAACCTCCTTCCCCACCTTCTCACTCACCCCAGAACATTTCTCTCAATCCTCAGTATCAGGAAAAGCTCTTCACCAGAGCAACTGGCCTTATTCATCTGGCCACTGGGAAAACTCGTAACAGTTCATGCTTCCCTCTTTGCACCAGGAAGTTGGGAAAAAGCTACTTCCAACATTGTGCAGGGGATGACACCACGTTTCTATACTAACTTTATACTTGGCTTTATTTCTCTACCCTAAGAGTTCTTTTGCTCTTCTCTGTTCATCTGTTTTTTACTGCTACGTGGATTTTTGTAAGTTGCAGCAAATCAGTTTTAACAAGTCTGGTATTGGATAATTATGTAAAATACAAGACACACTACAGCCCAATAAAAAGGAATAAAGAGTCCAGTTGCCTAAGGCAACACAGTAATCTGTGTGAGTTTCCTGACCAATTGACAAGAAGTTCATGATGCAGAGAAAAGGAAGGAGGTCATTTTAGGTGGAGAAAATGCCCAAGCAAAGGCAAAGAGCCAAACAGGAACAAAAGTGGCATTTGGGGACAGGCGACAATCTATGAAGGATGAGAACACAATAAAAGCCTTGAATGCCAGAGACAGGAAGCATCTAA